ATCAATACATTCCTCGCTCTGCTCAGAATCTAAAAGTCACAACGAGCTTATATTTATTTATACAATTCATTTTAACCAGTGACTCTCAATTTGAGTGTCGTGAGATTAGTAGACTTGCCACGAAATTATTGAAATTACGAAAGTGTCTTAAAAAATAATATTTTTCTCAGTTCTAAAATTTAAAAACTATATAGTACCCATGTAAATCCTGCGTACWTATTGTCCACCATATTTTATTTTTGATACAGGTAAGAATGTTATAGCTTTGATAGGATTACATATTTATTATTGATATAGGTAGCTAGGTATCATTTATAATTTATGTATACCTATATATAATTTAAATGCTTTATTTTTCAAATATAATTGTAATTTATAGAGATCATTTATAACATTTGCTTAGGTATACTCGAACAGAGTACATGTAGACATTTTAATTTTTTTTTTCAAAACAATAAAAGTATGTTTGGTTGTAACTTATAACCGAATAAAATAAAAACTAAGTGTACCTATATTGTATATATATGGGGCTTCAAGAAATATCCAAGGGTGCAGTGGGCAAAGAACCATTGATGAAAATACTGCATAAAACGTAAATAGTAAACACTTTAACTCATAATGTGACAAAAATCGTTCTATAAATACATTTTACCATTAATATTTCACCAGAAAATGTTTTCTTTGACAAATTAACGATACGCACTACAACGAGCAAGTTATCAAAACAATTTAAGTCGATATTTATTTTGTATTTATTTTAGGATTCAAACATTGGTAAAGTCCATTCGTTTATGTTTAACACATGCCGAGATTATTACTATTATGTATTATGTTGTATACATGTCGTATGCAAATGTGTTTTCACGAGGCTTTATAATATAACAGCTGAACGATAATACATAATAAGCTTCGATAATGATTTGTGGTCGATGGGGTTGGTACAGTGTATCCGAAACCAATATCGTAACGAACCCGAAAGTCCATCGTTATAATATCTCCGAGCGGAAAACTTCAAAAACGGTGAGTTAGACAAAAAAATGTATCCCTTTGACTGATATCCAACACCAGTGGCACCCCTATATCATTGTCATCGACGACGGGGATCGCCCGATACCACAAGGAGGTGGGATGTTTAAAAAAATGCATTGTACAAAACAAAAGGGATTTGTTAGGTAAAAGTGTACAGACAATAAATATTTTATTAGAACAATTAATTTAGTGCAAACAATTAGTTTTTTTTTTTCAATTATGTAGTTATAACTAATTATCGATTTCTGGTCATAGCTATTTAAAACAATTAGTTATTTTGTTAAAGATTTACTTATTAGTTAT